ACAAGGCAGAGCAGAGGAACCCAAGTCAGGTATGAATACAGTGGCTTTAGGACCTAGAGACAGAAGACTCAGCCCAGGACACTGTAGGTATCAGAGAGCAGAGATAGGACAGGGAGGAACTGCAACTGTAGACAACCTATACATGGTCAGCAAAAGAGACGTAAACCTGGAGCAGGGCAAATCTGGTTTTGGAAACAACAGAGAAAACAAAGAAATGGCATCTAACATATATACAAGGCAACATGTAAAGCAAATTCAGCTGTCACATGGAACTGCAGATCAGTGAAAGAGGAGGGTGACTGGATTATCACTTCTTTTCAACCTAGGCCATTCCATGATTCTATGATTCTATGACTCTCAGCGCATGGATCAAGAGGGAAGAAAGGGATGCCACTGACATGAACAACCTGCTATTCCTCCCTGTGAAGGATTCTGGATGCTGTTGACTTGTGATGGCCCAGCATCAGCTTTGGAAGGGAGGAGCACAGTACAATGAAACTGGGCAGAAACCAAGAAACACGTGCAAAAAAATGAACTGCATTATTATTCCATATTTTCTATAACAATTCCATAACAATTAGGTCTAGAATAACAGTGATTAGATTCTGATTATTTGAATTACAATAACAGTAAATCTTTACCTACCACAAACAACATTTCAAATGCAACATCACATAAGAGATGCAAATTTGCAGTTACTTTTCCTATAATTAAAAGTCATTATGGATTTGGATGACAGACTCTTCATAACATTACATAAACGTTAAATAGTGAGCTCACGTGTTTCAAGTGGTGCCACAAGTACTGGAAGAAGGAAGTGAGCATAGCTGGTCTTTTTGGGAACTGGTACATCCATAGACTCATGACATAACAAACTCCTTCAGTGGGAGGAGGATTTAACTGTTTCATTGGAAAACTATAGATTTAACTATTCTTTCCGCTACTTCTGATGAAGGCTATTATCATCCTAAAATGACTCTTAAAAGAACACTGGAAAGTATAAACAAAACAAATGTAAGCATATTTTGTGCTGTTTTTGTTTTGGTTTGGTTTTGATTCTGAAGTTGTAAAATGAATCTTGTATGACAAAATACAAGAAAGGATACAGAAACACAGCCTGTATAACTGCATTCAGAGACGATACTTCCTTACACCTGGGAAATGCTCTTAGGTAGTAAATCTTTCAGCCATCATTTTCCTCCACTGTTTTGGTGGTCAGGGCACAGCGTAGAAGTCAGCACTGACTTAGTTCTTGAACTCCAGCCTTTATAGCAATGCCTGTGTGTCCTAACATATTTAAGAACAAGTGCATTGCAAAAAGAGAAACTACTGCTCTCTAAGCAGACTCCTTCATTTCCCCTTGAATACCAGCCATCTTCTCAATATTATTAAGGTATTTAACTGATCCTGGATATTCACTATCAGAAATAATTAACAGATTCAAATATTCTAAAAATTAACAAAATCTAAGAACATAACATCACAGAAATAATTCAGGCTTTTCAAGTTGCCACCCTAAAATGAGCACTGTTGCCATTAGAGTTGCTAGTTTAAGTTCCTTTACTCATAAAATGGGAAGGTCCTTCCTTATCAGAGAACTATGAAGACAAAAATGAGTGATGGCTTTGGAGTGGTTTGATACAAGATATTGCAGAAGGAACAAAAGGCAAACCAACACTGTTGACGATGCGTACCAACTACAAGACTATCCTGCTGAAGTCCTCCCAAGTAATGCACAAGCCAAACCTCCACCATAGTATCTTGAACACTCGCATAGCATCAGAAAGTCAAAAGCAAGCTTGTCCTAGGTGAGCCTTAGGTAGCAGGGTTGCACTAGGATTGCTCAGAGACTAAAAATTGTAGTAGAGCAAGACTGGGATAAATCACAACGAAACATATTATTAAACAGGTGAGATTCAGCTTTTTACAGTCTACTCAGTATTTTGGAATAATAAAAGGTCAAGAAGAAAAAAGCTATGCTGCATTCATACTCCCATAATTAATACTTCTAAGGGACTGATTTTGAATCTACTTATAATAGCAGATATTAGTTCTCATATTTTCTAACGTATCTGTGCTTGACTTGGTGTTTTAGCAATAGTTCTGTATGCAAAATATATATACCTATCTACATCTAAACTAATCTGTTCAGTTTGTTATACTAAAAAATAAAAAAATATAGCAGGTGTGTACTTTTCTCTGTGAAAGACTAACAAATTTCAGGAATTTAATGCAGTGTTTTTCATATCTGGCAATACTGCATTTTACAATAAAGCACTATAATTCAATTCCTCATATTTTACAAAGAGATTATGAAGAAAATAGAAAAATATTTTTCTGTAGCTGAACATCTCTCTGTTTATCTTATAATTATAGATGAGTCTTCGATTTATTTAAGACATGAACCAACTGCATACTCAACTACTGGCCATCCACTGAGAGTACTGCTATGTGTGTATATCTGGTTTGGGAAAAACCCCTAATTCCTCAGGGAATTATAAAAAAAAAAAAAAAAAGCTGCAAGAGAAATTGAAGGCATTTTAAATATGGCAGCTTCTGAAACTGTCAAGCTGTGTAAAGTAAATACAGGAAGATGTTACAGTTGGGTTATTGTGACAGAGCACTGAGATTTTCACCCTGTATGGCAGATCATCTGGGATCTGATTCCTAAGGATGTACTGGGTTAGGATGCAGCATGCAGGCTTGCTGCAGCAAAGAATCTGCTTTGACTAATGAGCAGAATAGCAAAAAGAAAATGAGATCTGACAGTTCCTTGATACTAAATGGTGTGACCTAAGCCCATAGCTGTCAAGGTTTTTGCACTGCCAGGAGGGAGATCTGGGGAGTTTGGAGCAAGAGAAACAACTATAATGATTTAGGCTTAACCTCAGCGGTGCCCTGAACTATTATTTAATGATGACTTACCTTAGAGTATGCTAGTTAAATATTTTGATAAATGGAAGAAATAAAAGTTACTGGTCCCAACAGTTTCATTGTACATAAAAAAAAAAAAAAGAAATAGTTGATAAAACAGCATGAAATGGCAGGTAGTAGCATATAATTATTCCCCTGGTGACAGGAAATAAAACGGGCAGTGTAGATCTACTAAAAGGTGTAATTATCTCTAGGTACCAGGCCCACATGAGACATTATCTAACATCTGCAAAAAGCTATAACATTGTCTGTTTTCACCTGTTGCATTTGTAGCAAATATCGCAAGAAAACAAAAAGCAATATCCGGTTATTGCACAAGAATAAAGGAAAAATAAAATAAAACAACATATGAGATTTGTGTAGGACACTGAATAAAAGCTGATATGACATGTTAGACTCACTAGGCAAGGAGTCCAATTAAATATGCATGGTATTCTTCAAGAAATGTACTACATCTTATATGCGCTCAGAGGTACAGTGAAAATATTCTGCTATGTGCCTGACAACCAAGAAGTTACCCAAGGCCCTTACACAGCTGCCTTGCTGTCCTCTGACACACTGCACTGATAATAATCATGACATTCTACACAAACCCAATCACGTCCATCAGTCCTGGCTCCTCTCCCATCTGCTCAGCACACTTTGGTATCCTACAGATACCTTGCATGTTAAATCAGGCATGCCTCAGTATTTTTAATCAATTAATTTTTAAGATCAGATTCATCACTACCAAGAAGATACCAGCAAAAAGAATGTTAAAAAAAGAAAAAAAATAATAATAATTTTTATGCTCTTTACGTGAATGTGAAAATGGAGACATGATACTAAGTGACATCTATCAACATCCTCAGATGAGATAGGACATGCATCTCCTATCAAAGGAATATCTTTGTTTAGCTGGTTGTGCCTACAAAATCAGAAGTATTTACATGATCTGCAGAAAAAGGAGCTTTCAGCAATGAATGTTAATCAATAACCTCAAGAATACTTGAAATGCCTAGGAAACAATGCTGATGAGTGAAAAAAAAAAACAACCTTGCTTTCTTTCTCCCATTAAAATACAAAAAAATGCATAGAGAATTTCACCTCAAGTTATATTAATTTCAAAATTGACTTCAGACATTTGCATTTAATTTTTTAAACCCTTGCAACAGATGTCAACTCAAGCATGTTAACATAGCCCTCTTTCAGTGATCCTAACACACAGACAGCTTTACACATTATCCCAGTGTGATTTAGAACAAAGTCCTGCAAAATTCAGTTGTAAAGCTTTTGATATTACAAGGAGCTCTCACTTGGTATATCTGGGGGAGAACTGTATTTATTTATTTCTTTAACTGTTATTGCACAATGTATTTTATAAAAAAAAGGATGCACTGTGCTGTATGTACTTTGGACTTCACAGGGAATAATCTTCCAATCTGAAGCCTCAGTGAAAGGGTAGTAATTAGTCAACAAAAGGATTGTTAATTTCATAATTCCAGACTTTTACACTTGATTTTTTTTGTTTCTCAATATAAAGTCTCTAGAGCATCAGTTTCTCCTCAGATACTTAGATGAACTGGAAAATATCACCTTCTAAAGGAGGTATATTCTTGTTTATTGACATAGCCAATAGAGTAGCAGGTAAGTAATAAAACCACTACTGGCTTTGCAAAAAAAAAAAAACAACAACCAACCAACCAAACAAACAAACAAAAAAAAACAACACAAAACAAACACATAGCAAGTGCATGTGACACCAATTAACAGCAGGTTTTTGAAGAATGTTAGCTTGACAAGTCATTGACAAGTACTGGAAACGTAAGTCTCAAGAATATATGAGACATGACAGAGGCAGCACTAGTTCTCCCACCCTTCCTTCCCAATACTCTTCAACCTTGACTTACCATATTCTGTGGAAAAAATGCATTTTCTATGCCTACTCCACAGTTGTTAGCTGTGAGCAACCACCAGCAGGCCTGCTGGCTAGTGCCAATTTTGACAGTGGATTATGTCGTGAAATGACATTTGGGTTTTGTCCTTGCTCAATAGCAAACAGTGTTAAGGAAGTAGGTCACAAGACAAATTCCTAGTATAGGAAGAAGACGAGTTTTATGAGCAAGCAGCTTTAATCTGTCCTTTTCTTTTAGGTTATGTTTGCTTACCAGGGGGAAATAAAGAGGGAGGAAAAAGTTTACTTGCCTGAAAGGAAGGAGCTTGTGTACAGAGTGGAAAAGATTTGATTGCCTTCAAGTAAAAGTGCCTATTAGAAAAAAAAGAACGTCAGAGAGGAGCTGATCCTCTTGCTTCAAAAGTCCTGTCAGCTTCTAAAAAAAGATTTTACCTGCCAGGATTCAGCTTACCAAATTTTCTGCCAAGTGCTGGAGAAAAAAATGCTGAAACAAGGTCTCCACCACTACTTCAGCTAGTATCACACAAGCAAAACAGAGCCAGCCATTAATTGTGGCACAACGGCCTCTAACTTGAAAAAAAAATCACCCTGCTTCTTCACACACTGCTTTCAAGGCAATCTTGGAAAGTGAAGGTGTTACCGGAGGTGATAATCTCTTTTTTTTTTAAGAAGGAAACACCCAAAAGCCATTCATCACTTTTAAGCCAAAAGACAAAAATTTCTTGCGCTTTTGAAGTGATTCCCCCAAACATAACTGAATTTGATTGAAATTGATTAAAGCAAGAGTTGAGCTGAAAGTCTTCCAGCCAAGGTCTTAAAAATGTCTCCCCATGAAACGTTTAATATTTCTTTATGAATGAGCTCCTTATTAGGCTGTTTAACTTCCTATCCTGCAAAAACATGATTTTTCAGGAAATTGGATTACATCTGCTCACATGCTGTGTGTGAGCCGAAAACAATTTTTTCTTCTAAAAATGGAAGTTTTTGTTTCAGATCTTTTAATGTTTCTAGAAAGGTTGTTTCTTCTGCAGCATGCCAGTCTACTACATTTTTGCATGTGTCCTTATTTTTCACTGCCTAGAAACAAAGTAAAACATTACATTTTCAGTATAAGGAAAATACATAAGGCATTAAAAAATGTATTTCCCATATGAATGGTCATATATTTTACTCATACATGAGAAATTCACAAAATGATTGACATTAAAAGAGACCTCTGGGTCTACCTGGTCCACTCTCTGGCTTCAGTGGGATAATCCAGATCAGGGTGCCCAGGACAACAGCCAGTTGTCTTCAGAGGATTTTTAAGGAAAAGACTCCACAACTCTTCTGGGCAATTTGTTTCAGTGCTTGGCCATTCATCAGTACTCAGTATGCGCCTGTATATATACCCACACATACATAGATCAATACATCAATAGATGTGTGTATTTAGTTTATAAATTTTATATATCTATGCATATCTATTTTATCTAGGGACTTACGAGAAAATGCAGTCTTTGTGTGTCTAAGTGTTTGCACATAAACATTTATTTTTTCTACCATCTCATTTAAAAGAAAAGAAAACAACAACAGTCATCAACAATTCACACGTTACACTGAACTCTGAGCCTCTGTTGTTACTATCTTTAGCAAATTATTCTTTGGAAGAAAACAACTAATGAAAACAAATACCTATTTTGTGTTCACATTTTTTAATGCTGGTAAAGCGATTTACACCCACATCTGGTCAGTCTAATGCACTTAGTAAGATTGTACAGTCCTAGATCCTCATGTGCACATACTAAAGGGTCATAATAAGCAAGCAGCAACATATGGATCTTTTTACTTCCCCAGGAAGTGTCAAAGTCAGACTACTTCTTGAACAAAATAGAAGTGCACCCATGTTCAGAAGTTTACATTCTCTAACTTCATGTTAAAAGCAAGAACAAATTCGTTATAGCAACACACTTTGATTAATAGATTCACTCAAACATTAGAAGAGGGCAAATTGGGCCCATTTACTGATACCTCACAATTGTGCTCTGAGTGCTAAATTGGAAATTGGATTGTACAAGAGGTGGCAATGTGAGTTTCAGAATCAATTTTCAAGCCTTCAAAAAAGTATAGGCATGCAGAACACTTGTAATGCTATTATATTTATCTATATATTTTAGACATTACATTATCTATTCATAGTTCAGCAGGTATGCCATGCTCATCAGTTTCCAAATTATTTGCTGGCTTCCTGGCACACCTCTTAGTTATTTTTATCTGATATTTCAAATAAATTAAAAAATGCCTTGAATTGCATGATTAGTCCATTATGTATTCTGTTTATTACAATTATATGAACTTTTGATTAACCTCCATAAGTTTCATGAATAAATTACCTGGATCACGGGAAACTGTCAGTTAATGTTAGAATGTTTCAGTGGGGAGTTTCCAGGAGATTAATCTACCTTTTTTTTTTGGGAGCTATTTTCAACTCAGCTTCCTTTAACAGCAGTATATGCTGTTGCTCAGTTGTGATGAAGAACATGTGAATAGATTTGTAGCCCACTTAGAATGAGTGGGTGCAAAATTTACTCACAGAGTCATATCTTTGGAAGATGATTTGTGCCCTTTTAAATATTGATGTCAGACTCGCTCTAACATGATGAGGATAAATTGTGCTAATCACAGCGAGTCTTCCAAGCTATGCAATATGACAATTCAGACATTTATCTCTTCTATCTTCTCTAAGTGGTGATGAACAATTTCTTGTTGAAAAATCTCTTGCATATTTATTTATTCATCTATTTATTTAACCACACATATGACAATCACCCAGAAAAAAATATCTCAAACTTCTGGCTATTCATCTAGACTTGATGTGTGCCAAACACCTGGTTCTATTTTTGACCACAGTTTCTCCCCATTCACACACATCTATTTGCCAAAGGTCTATTTTTTGCATAGAAAATTTCATTTATACAGATGACTCAAACAGCCCTTTTCATAAAATAATCAAAAAATCAGAAAAGAAGGTCATAGAAATCTAGTCTGCGGGTACACAGATTATTTTCTGGAGTGAGCTGAGAAAGGAAAAACCAAGATAGTACCTTGTCAATCAAATTCATCACACCTGGTCCTTGTTACAGAATCAAAAAGAGAACTGGAAGAGCTTTTTGCTGGCCTACGAAGACCAGAAAATAAAACTTCATAGATCATCAGCTGGTAAAAGAAAACTTAGAGGCATAAATATGAGGCAAAGGATGGACAGCAGGAAAGAGTGCTGTCAGCCGTTTGATTAATAGCACAGAAGAAAAGCTCGGATTGGAAAAGAAAGCAATGAAATCATAAGCAACAATGGGAAAGACACAGGGCATATCTGCAAGTGGCGAGAAACACAGAGATGGCCACAGTAGCATCTCATTTCTGCCCTTTCCAGCTGCTGTTTAACGGCATCACAGTGATGAAACAGTTCAAAACATGAAAGCCTGTGCAGCAGGTGATCAGGAAGTGTTTACATATGTAAGAGGAGGCTAAGGACACCCTAAGGGAGCACCAGTCCTCTTCTCCCACATAACTAGTGATAGGACCAGAAGGAATGGCCTCAAGTTGCATCAAGGGAAATTCAGGTAGGACATTTGGAAAAACATTCTCCAAAACAGTGGTCAGGTGCTGGAACGGGCTTGTCCAGGGAGGTGGTGGAGTCATTGCCCCTGGAGGTGTTTAAGAAACGTTTAGATGTTGTACTGATGAACAGGGATTAGTGGGAAATACTGGTGGTAGGTCGGTGGTCAGACTGGGTGATCTTAGAGGTCTTTTCCAACACTAGTAATTCTCTGGTATTGATATGGTGAAATAGGATATTTCTATCTTGCATTAGCTTGTCTTTAGACAAATCTTACAAGACAAAATTTGTTAAGGCTTTCTTAAATAATCACATCGAAAATGTCCTCTGAGTTTATAATAATCCATGGGTTCAATTCAGTTTTGATGGAAAACCGCTGGGAATGATCATTTAATGACTCTGTACTACAAATATTATTAACATGCTGATTATATTTTTTTCTACTCTGTTTTTTTCATAAGACATAGACAGAGATTGTGCCAACTGCTTTGAGTAGCTGGCAGAAACACAGAACTGGATGAAAACCAGCTGGTTACATCTCAGACTGGAAAGACAGATGTCATACAGGAGATGCATTTTACAAACAAAACATTGCACAGAACTGTTTCTGAAATGTTTTTCCATTAGACTCAGAGTTCAGTGGAATGCATAAACCTACGCTGGGGTCAGCTTTCTAAGAAAAAAAAACAACATGGCAGATCTTGTATGTTTTCTCTTGTGGATAACTACACTCAGAATAATTCCATTTTCTTTTCTGTGATCTATAATCACAGAAATCCCAAGATGTTTACAGTACAGGAAAAAATGCAAGATCTGAGCACCACAACAATATTTCTCTTCACAGGGAATATCAGGGTGCAAGAGGAATGAAGGCAAGTGACGGCCAAAAAGAGCAGGGACCAAAACTAAAAGCATTATTTTAATTATCAGTGATACAGAAGTTCAGATGCAAAAAAGTGCACAAAAGAGATAAAAAGAAATTGTAGGTGCTAATAACAGGTGTTTTTTTTTTTTTTTCTTTTAAGTAAATCATGGAGGACAGATGGTAAGATTGTAAAATACGTATTTTTTATGAGCTCAAGTTAGAAGTATTAAAGTGTAAAGAGGCATGAATTTAAGTAACAGAACTATTTGTTATAAAAACTAACAATGCGTGCACTTGAAGTTCATTGGTATTTCTTTAGAGCAATCTTGGCAAATAGTGAAAGAAAAATATAGGATGCTACAAGCCTCTTGGTGTAATTTCCTTCTGCTTCCAAAAAACAATAAAATAATATACAGGAGCTCTTTCACTGTCCTCAGTGCAGTGACATTTTATGAAAGGTAAAGCAATGCTGCACCTACTGACTTCCCTTGTCTATTTACAAGAGGAAATGTCATCAAGCATTCAAAATGTCACTACCTGCTGAGATGACGTCACCAGCGCCTGCCATGGAAATGTTCCTTCCTCTTCAAATGCTCATGTTTTTGAGCAATAATCTTTCTAAAGAGATCTTCCTTTGGTAGGCAAATGGCAGTGTGCATAATAACTACAAAAATGAACGCAGGAGCAAGCACATTTCCTGGGACTGAAGACATTTTTTAAAGAGCACAGACAAATGTTCACTAATATTGCCTGCCTCTTAAGCCAATTATTACTGTAATACAAACAGGTGCTGTCTGCTACTTAAACCGTCTTGTTACAGTCCTCTAAAAAGTGTCATGTACACAGAAAAGCATATTTGTAATATTTAGACTAAGTACATTTCAACTTAATTGCATCACCTCACAAAATTACATAAACAAGGCTTCTGTATTTGTGCAAGAGATTCTCTCAAGCTGCAGATCTTGCACTTGCTCATGAATTCTATGGTGTGCTGTCAGAGGGGTTAGGATCCACAGTTTCGGTTCATTTTATTTGTATTTTTATTTTGTGAAAAATAGACAAAAGTCGTAAAGTCTGAGATTCCTGTCATTAATTTTTCTTCTTGGATTCAGGTCTTGTCATTTATTTCTTGCCCGTGTACAAACTTTTATCGTGATTCCTGACATAAAAAATAAATAAAATAAAAAATTGATATATATTGCCTATCCAATTTCTACATTACCAAGTATTCCAATAAGTATTTTTGTCAACAAGAGATAGTTAAAAAATAAAATTCATTTCCTTTTTGATTAGTTGGTTTTATCTAAGATGAACATACATAGATTTTTACAGCCTAAGAACTTGAGAGCACATGGATTGAGCACAAAGTGAATCCTATAAATTGCCTCAACAATAATGTTAAAAAATCCAGTTATGCTTAATTACTTACTAAATTTCTTTGTTTGTTTGTTTTTTAATAATTTAAAACTGAAATAAAAGAAAACACAGCACAAAGCTGATACTTTCTAACCTGCTATTGCTGACTGCATCCCCACTGTTACCGCTGTAACCCTCACAAAACATTCAAGTATGCAGAACCTCCTAAATAAAACACAGGAAACACAGTGACTTCTCTGGAACTGAAATTGTCTATGTTACTGAAAATATAGTATAAATGACTTATTTCAGTATAGAAACTACTGAAAAAAGGTTACATTCTGAATAAGATCCACATATTAAGGCCAATTTTGAGGCTACGAAACAGTGATATCCAAATTCTTCAGATATGAAAAAAAAACCAAAAAACAAAAAACAAAAAAAAACTTATTATTGTACAAGCTTTCAGGTTAGCTTTCCTATAAATGAATGTTTAGAAAACTAGACAAAATATCCACTTCAAAATTATCAAAATATTTAATTCTTACTTTTGGAAGTCT